ATGTATGTATGTGTATTAAAAAAGGGAAGTTGCCTAAACTGGTGTCTGATCTCTTCCACTGATCTTGAACTTAAATCTTCCCTAAAATTTTCCCTATACAGGTACTGACATTGGAGTAATGTTTTGTCTACTGACAATAGCTTGAATTTTTTTTTCCATTTGTTTTACTCCAAAGTAGAAATACTCTTATCTCATAGGGAGAACCTCTGATCTTCACCTGGAATTTGTGCTACCTAAAGGTTTGTTCTAGTAAAGCATTTTCTTAATTTCAAAATCGCTAATTTATATTTTTAATTATGCTAAGTACAAATCTGTGTGTGTGCCCTTAAGGTAGCTAGGGTTTGAATTGGTGGAAAAGATAGTCCTTGATCAGTGCTAAATCCACATCTTATCTACCTGTTAAAACTTTGATTTTTGGTGTGGAGAGAGTGTCATGATTAAAGTGCTGGCTGTGGTGTGTGGGAGTGTTGGTTGGAAGGCATTTTTAGGGCTTATCAGTCCAGGTGCCTGCTCAGGATTATGAGTAACAGTAGCTTGCTGTCTGTGGCTTAGCCTGCGGAGTCTTGGACACCCCTGAGAACAAAGATCATCACCAAACCACCCTGCAGGTGTGTTTTCTAATGTCCAGTCTGAAGCTCCCAAGCTGTTACTTATGATACCCAGAAGAATTTGCTTCCATGTTTATAACTAAAGCTGTCAAGCTTTAGTTAGTATGTGATTACACCCAGGCAGCCTCTTTGTCATACTAAAGAAACCTAGCTCCATCACCTCTTCTCAAACCTTTCATTATCAAGGCTCTATGCTATTTTACTGACTCCTGCCAGGTTCTCAAATTCCTTTTCCACCTGGGAGACTTGAAATGGAACACAGTATTTGAGCTTCAGTCTCACCAGCATTGTGTTTCCTTTGACTGCACTCTTCGTTTCCCTGTTTGCAGTGGGAACTGACTTCTGGCTTGTGTTCAGCCTGACAAACAATTTGATCTCCCTATCTGTCTCATTAAGGCTGGTCTCAACTGGTCTGATCCCAGGTTCCACTGAAGCACCCAGGAGCACAATTTTTCACTTTGCAATGTTCCTAAGGCTGGCTTATTCCTCAAGTTTATCAAGGTATATCTGAGTTAAATATCTTTTTGGAGAGTCAGCGACTCCTTGTTTAGTATCATCCACATATTTTCTGAGAAATCATTTTGTGTTGTATTCAGGTTGTTGATGAAGGTACTGTGTGACATTGGCTCCAGCCTTTTTGATGGTGCTTACCTGCTACCAGCTGGATGCTGAGCCATCAATTACTGCTCTTCAAGTTCAGCTGTGTGGCCTGTGGCCATTCAGTCTAACAGGCCATTTCTCCAACCCTCCTGTGGGAATTGGAATAGCCCTAATCAATAAAAACTGGCCTGTGATTTCAGATATTTCTGATTAATATGTCAAGCAAACATTTTAAGTGTTACTAACCAAAGCTAGCTTTGTGTAAGTAAATTCAAATAGGTAAAATGAAAATTTACAGATAATTCAGTCTTCCAAGGATGACACTGTTTACTTTGGGAGGCTTCTGCTGCTGTGAAATGTGGTCTCAGTTAAACAAAATGTGACATTCAGAAGCTCAGTAGAGAGTCCTTCTTCCTTCATTTAACAGAAATATTTGACCTTTTTGCATGTAGGTAAAGCTTGTATGTTTAGAATGTACATGTTACTCATTTGAAGTGGATTAGGGTCACTAATTTTGTTTCAAGTACATTATACTGTAAAGCCATAGCAGCTTCAATTTTAGTTATATTGCATTTAAATCCTTTCATCTCAAAACATTGGAATAAGCACTGTTGAGTGGTCATTTCCAGTGGCTAAACACTACATAGCACTATGAGCCTTGCATTGTTTGACAGACTTGAAAAAACTCTTCTCAAAACAGCTTAAGTTATTTTTCCTTTTTGTAGTAGTGTGCATTTACTTTAGTTTTTTGCATTATGACACTAAACTGTATAGAGAAAGTTATTCCTGTCATTCAGATAGTCTTATGCCAAACCTGAATATTAAGGAATAACCATAATTTCATCTTTCAGTAAACATGTGGAACAGTCAGAAACTTAAGACTAAATCACTTTCTGGAGTGATTAATAAATCTGAAAACCTGTTTCAGTTTTGAAACAATCAATTTTTCACAATTTCAGGTGGCAAGAAAGGAATGACCAGTAATGATTTTGATCCAAATCATGGATCTGCCTGACTAGATACAGCATTTTCATATAATATGTCAGCCAAAGCCACTGTGATCACACTGAATTTCTAGATGTTTTAAGGAATTGGACAATCTACAATTTTGTCAAATGGAAGAAAACAACAGAGCCTTGGTATTTCAGAGGTAGCACTTGAAAATGAGATTGATAGCTCTAAACTTGAATGGTTCAGGAATAGGTTTAGAATCCAGAGAGGCTTATTTTCTCCAATTGATTGAAAACCAGACTTTTTAGAGATTCCAAATGTGGGTGTTTTTACCAGAAAAGCTTTTTTGTGCCAGGATGTCAGGACACTTTTGGTGTCATGCAGATAATTTTATGCATGTATCATCAGACTAATGTAAGATGAGATCAGTAATGGCATCAAGAAGCAACTGGTACGCTGCACCTCACAGACTATGTTTATCCAGGTCTTAGAGGCACAGATTTTGTCTCTTGTTTAGATTTCAGTATTTTAAGAACAAACTAATTTCATCTAATGCTTTTGGACCTCTTATGAAATGAACAAAGAGCTGAACAAACAGGTATTTCGGTATCCTGGAGGCAGATTGGTGAAAGATTTGTCCTCAGACAGAAAAGTATTGGTGAAAACTATTAGGAACACAGTTGCATCTGCTCTTCTTTGTGAAATAAATTGAGCTTTGTCATTGCTTGTGAGATTTTTTTTTAAAGACCTGTGGAAGTGTGAGTTCAGTATTTAGAAGCTGATGCAGAGCATGGGATGTCAGTACTTCTTGATTGGAAATTGGGCTATGGGGTTTCTTTAGTTACTTGCTTTTGGTACTTACATGGAAAAATAAATCCAGTGGAATGAGACAGTGAAATAAATTGAGTGGGCATAGATCAGAAAAGGTAGGTCTTGCAATAAACTGTCTGATTAGCCAGGCTAATTATTAATGTACTGGTATTGGGAAGTTTATAGATTTGTGCAGCATGGATTCAGAAAATTTATCTATGTAACAGCCAAGGTGTTTTATTTTATTTTTTTCTTCAGTCCTCTCTGTAATTTTGATTCATGACACCTTGTTCTGTTTTTGGTTTTAAATAAATGTGGAAATTTAGGCTTTTTGTTTAGGAGAAACAAAGACAAATGTGAAAGCATCCTAAACTCTGCTGGTATTGAACAATTCCTTTGAATTTTATATTATTTTTTGTATCTTCATGTGTTAAAAGAGAAGTGTACGTATGACAAATATCTGTTTTTATTCTTGCAGGCTCTTGAAATTCTGGTGTGGATTACTGGCTTTTGTTAAAAAGTTTTTTGAGATGTATTCCTGTGTGAACACACAAAAAAAATCCACCTGCTGTGTTTAGGTTTTGATGAGCATCTCTAGTTGTTTTACTAGCTTTCTTGATGTTATGTTAGATTTCCGTGTTTCAAAAGCTGCATTGCATAGGTAGTCATCTAAAATGTATTTAAATGAAAAAAATATATAGATGTATTTGGCATTAATACCAACAAGAATTCCCAGCTGTAGGGTAAGTACACTAAAGTTTTAAGTTGGAAATGACCTTTTTTTTTTCTTTTTTAATTCTTCTTACCTCTGGGTAAGCAGTAAAAAGTGCTTCATGAGACTGTGCCTTGTTTGAATAGACATGGTGAGCAAGTGTAAGTGCTTGCTCTATACCTGTTGTTAAACAAAGCTAAGTAGTTGAACTAGACTAAGGGCCTGCTGTTTTATATTGTTGGTTTGGATTCTTTAAAAATAGCTATAAAGCCGAGTGTTTTGTGGTGAGAACTTTTGGAAAGTTAAGACTTATATTGAATTGGTGTAATTTAACAGGCAATGTAATGAGTAATGTTACACATAGGTCTGTTTCAAACCAGAGAGTCTTGGGCATCTTGTGCCTTGGATATCTGGATTGGCTTTGTCTGCTGCTTCCCTCCTGCTGGACTTCATTACAGATTTCTCTGCAGCTTTTCATGTTGGAATTTCTTTTTTCTTGGGGTTGTGTTTTTTTGGTGTGGAAACAGGAAAGGCTGGAGCTTCCTGCCCATATAAACAATAAATCTGTGAAATAACTGGAACAGATTCCTGCCTGCCTTCCCTGAATACTGTGTTTAAAAGGAAGGAAACAGCATAATCGTTTTGGGTATCAAAATAGGATTCACTTAATAGTAGAGCTATTTTCTTGAAGAAATATGCACAGGAGACAGGATGCCTTTGTTTTTTGGCTGCCTAAAGTCCTTGAAATTCAGATCTGAATGTTTTTGTGTGACCGTGTTAACCGTGTGACCGTGTTACATTATCAAGTATGTAGAAACTTCTTTAATGAATTAATACAGTTGATTACAGTAAGTTTTGGCAAAGTGCCCTTTTTTGCACATTTGGAACTGTGCAGCTGTATATTCTATTTTCTTTAAATATACTGCCACAGTTTAACAAAAGATCTGAAATTTTGTTTCTTACTCCATTTTGAATTAAAGCTGATGATTATTAGCTTATTTGTCAGCTATGTTATGATATACAGTTTAGTGTCTCTACTCAGTCACTGATAGTACAACATGGCTTGACTTATAGGTAGTTTGAGTTGTAACAGTTCCACATTGACAGTGTGGAAGAATATGTATGCCTCAGAACATCTGGAACTGAAATTACTTACACAATGACGTGGAGGATTGGTTTGTTTAGGGTTGTGCTTCTTCTCTTTGCACCAGAAAGAAAAATCTTACCTTTTTAAAAACAACTTTAATGTAAAAAAATTACCTGTGTGTGGGAGCCTGTTTTAATATGCAGTCTAACTTTGTGTTTTCTCTTCCCTCCAGCTGGTGAGCCTGCTGCTGATTGGAATTGCAGCATGGGGAATTGGCTTCGGCCTCATCTCTAGTTTCAGAGTTGTTGGAGTGGTAATTGCAGTAGGAGTCTTCCTCTTCTTTATTGCCTTAGTTGGATTGATTGGTGCTGTGAAACATCATCAAGTATTGCTATTCTTTGTATCCTTCTGATGCATTGCATTGACTGCAGCATGGTTTGAGCCATGTAAACAACCTCCTATGTCAGCTGAGACTGCTGGGGGAGGCGCTTCAGAAAATGAACAGAAATTCACAATCTTACTTTGGTCAAGTGCAGTCTAAATTAGACTTCCTTCCCATTTAACTTTATTTCAGTTTCCTTTTTTCCCTCCATTGTTTGTGCTCTGAAGATAGAAGTATTCACATCTCTTTTTAAAAGTAAGACTATTTTAATTCTTTGAGAACATTTTATGGTAGCTCACTGTGTCACAGGTGCCTCATACTGTGTGCTCATACTGTGTGTTCAGCCCTACTCGGGGCTAAAGTAGGTGAACTATTAATGTTTAACTTCTGTGGTCTGTGAATAAGAACTGACCTCCACTTTACAAACAGCTAAATTGTGTGAAATATCTGCCTCTGAACACAGCAGCCAAATTTTGAAAATACTCCCCAACTTTCAAAACATGATACTTAGTATCAAAGCTTATTCTTTTTGTTTTATACCATCTTCAGATGCAGTAGTACAAAAGCGTGTGAGGCTGTGTTCCTAGAGTAACTCTTACTTTTTTTTTTTTAAAATCTCCATTAAAGTTATCTTTTGTAATTAGTTAGAGGACTCTGTAATTGAAAAAAAGTAATCTGAATATGGAATACCGGGAAAAATATTTTCTCTACCACTTTATTTAAGTGAGGTATAATGAAATTACATGAGTCCCTAAAGCTGGAGAAAATGGCTGGAGATCTTGCTCTCAAAGCTCCTTTTATTGACCTCTCAGCTCATGTTTTCTTGCTAGGCAAGAAATACCTAACAAGGAAATACCATCTATGTATAGTAGTAGCCAAAAAGAGATAATACATGGTCATTGGGTTTTGAGAACATTATTTAGGTCATCTTTTCCATATCCATTTGAAATTTGCTTCCATAGTTCTTTTGTTTTAAAGAACTTACTGTTACCCAGTGAAATAAATAATACCATTTGCTTTATATGTTATAAAAGCAAAACTAATTTGAGAGTACATCCTTAACTGTTGATTGTTTCCAGTACATGATTATTCTTCTGCTAGTCTTTATTGTCCAGTTTTCTGTCTCCTGTGCCTGTTTGGCACTAAATGAGGAACAGCAGGTAAGAAAAGTTTACTGCTTTCTTAGTTAATCTATAGCATAACTCTATAAATATGTATGTGCATGTATTTGTATATAGTCCTCCATAAAATGGGGAGAGCATATTTTAAGAAAATCAGCATTGTCCTATTTATTAAAGATGACATAGACCTTGGTCAGTGCTTGGCTCTGGTAGCTAGAAAGGAATACATTTGGGTCCTAAAATTACTTTTCTTTTTTTTTTTTCCTTTTTCTTTTTTCTTTTTTTTTTGTTGATTTATTTTTAAGCTTCCTTTCTCGTTTATGGTCACATGTGTAGCAGCATGATATTATGAATATATCTCATGTTCAGTAATTTCAGATAAGCTGATGAAATACACAGGAATCATGGTGTCAGTTTAATAAAGTCATTGAAATGTTCTTGTGAAACTGGAAAGGTCATAACTACATTAGGCAGTTATGTGTGACAGTAGAACAGTCTTCCCTGTGGTATGGAGACCAGCTCACTGCATAAGAAATGAGTGAGGGTGCAGTGACTAAAAAATCGGATTTGCATGCAAGGGTGTTTTTTGTGTATAGCATGGGCAGTCCCAGCTAGATTAGTCACATGTCCCTTTACTTGTGATTTTGTTGGGTTTAGCAAAAACGAAGGAAAGGAATTATACCCATGAATGTGCTGCTGTGAGCTGCTGTTCTTTCATTAGCTACACAGCCTCTTTGGACACTCCAGTCATTCTTTAATATATTTATATTCTCCTGTTAAGCATCAAGATCTGAAGGCTTTAGTTAGGGCATTATCAACTAGATTTTGTATATTGGCTTGCAGTGTAAAACAGTTCAATTAATGTAATACGTATTTGCTTATGGCTTCTAGAGTGAACTTCTAGAGGTGGGATGGAGTAACACCAACAGCGCAAGAACAGATATTGAGAGAAATCTGAATTGTTGTGGATTCAGAGTTTTTTACCAGAATGAAACCTGCGCCGCTGTAAGTTCTTCAAGTGTGAAAACCCATAACTTTCTCACACTGCATTTGTTCAAGAATGTTTCCATAGTTACAGCAAGCAGCATTTTAACAGATGTGTAATGTAGGTGTTATAGTGATACTAAGCTCTTAACTTACTGGAAAGACAATTACAGGGCACCCTGCAAAGTTTGTACTCCACTGTCATTTGTATATACACTTGGGCTCTTGGAGTCTTTTAAAACTGCTGTAGTTTTGTCTATGGGTAGCAGTCTCTTCTGGAGCAAACTAGATTCTTTCAAACAACAAAGTGTCATCAGCAAATGGAGAGCAATTCTCTGTATCTGCTACAGGATTGTCTTCGAACTCTCCACTGTAGACCATGTGCACCGATAATGGAAGAATATTCTGGAATGGTGCTGAGATTTGTTGGCGGGATAGGACTCTTCTTCAGTTTCACAGAGGTGAGTGGGTAGTTGGAAAATTAAGTTCTTTCTTCCCACTTCTAAAGCTTTGTTTTAGGGGGTTTGTTACAGGAAACCTCAGTACAGTCTCAGGAATCAGATAATGAATAAGGCCCACTTTTTCAAAGGTATGACCTTGCTGACAGACCTATGTCTGTCAGAAGGAAAGCTTTGCTTGCAACTTGGTTATTTAGACAACAAACCTCAGCATTAAAATGTGGTGCTGTAAAGTTTAAGCTTTTCAGAAAGTTAGCTGTTCAAGTGTACCATTCTCCAGCAGTACTAAAAGAGTGCTGTTGCTTTACCTTGTTCCCTCTTCTTCCCACCTAGTCCCCACTCTAGCACGCGTAGTCTTTGAGTTTTTTCTTTTTTTTGGTGCCACCTATACTGCAAAGATAGAGTTGCATGAGGAGTCATCTGTATTTTAAACAGTAGGTTAAAATTAAGAATGTCTCTTGGCTCATCATCACCATGATGATGCATAACTTGCTTTATTGATTGGAGTATTAAAATCCTCAGAGCAGGTCTTTTCTAGTCCCAGAGTAGAGCATGTGAAAGTCCTCTTCCTGCTGCTTAGTGCAGTTTTGAGAAGGTTTGTACATATGACAGCAAGAGAGATACAGCAACTTAAACCAAGTCACACTGATGTCAGCCAACTCAGCTAAAAATGTGAAAGTGCTGGGGGGAGTGACAAGATTTGAAAATGCACAGGAATAGCTGTATAGTTAAGTGGTAATGGTAAAGTGAAACAATTTTGAGGATTTTTTTTATCATTATATTAAAAGCAGCTTTATGAGTATTTATCATTTGGGAAGGGGAGAAGAATAATTTAACTTCCATTGTAACAATGGGAAATTTTTTATTGCATTGTGAATATGAGTTTTGCTTTTGTTGTTGATAAGTTTTGTGGTTTTTGTTTTGTTTTTCTGTCTGTTGCTAGGGTATGATTTTATTCAGAGAGAGAGGGTGCATTCTTTTTTCTAATTAAGAAAGGTGGAGTGTGGTTATACAGTTTTAGCAACAGCAAAATATCCTAAACTTGTATCCTAAACTGAAAGTTCTTTGTCATGATTTTTTGTTTAAAACAAATTTTGTAAAACTAGAAGATGGGATGGAGACCTCTGCTTAATAATATCTTTGGTTTTTATTTTCAGATTCTGGGAGTCTGGCTGACTTACAGATACAGGAACCAAAAGGATCCCCGTGCAAACCCTAGTGCATTTATTTGATAAGTTTATAAAGGACTAAATCTTCTCTCTGCACCCTCTACTTAAAAATACTGATTCTCCATACTTGGTATTTCTCCATAAATAGGTATTCTACATGTACTCAAAATAACACACAAGTCCTGTAAGAAATGTGTAGTTTTCATATTTAATTTCTGATGTTTTTCTTCTAAGAATCTCTATCTTAAAGTAGATGGGTGCATTCAGTAGCTGGGCAGAGTTGAACTGCTGTTTAAGACTTCGTTAATTGTTACGGTAAACTCTATACAATGAGTTTTATAGCACTACTGGGTTATCTGCTGTAAAAAAAAGCCCCTAGAAGTATTTTCTGCTGTATTCATTGATTACAAAAATTCACATGAATTCTCATTAAAATGATAAAAATTTATGGTGGATGGTTGGGTATGATTTACTTAGGTTTTAAGATGTACTCTAGTAAACTTTTTCGTCTCCCACTTTCCTGTTAAGGTAAAAATAGAAGCTAGAGATGTTATTTTCTATAGTGCACATAAGTGTATGTTAATGACTACTGTAGTCTTCACCCCTCCCCCTTTCCTGTTTGTTTTGGTTTTCTGGTAGCTTTAGAATTTTATTGAGAATAAAAACAATGTTAATGAATATTGTCATTATGAGAACAATGAATGAAGAAAACCAGGAGAATGTTATCTGCATCTGATTAACTTGAAACTTTTGTCCCTTGACAAGTGAATGAGGTTTGGTATTTGCACAATCAATGTCTGTCATCTCTGATACAAGAAACTTGATGTCTGGAAAGTTGTTGTACAGCTATTTTTTTTAGATGGTGTAAAGTCATTGTTGTAATGACTCAGCAGTGTATATTTCTGTGTCATCCAGATAACAGTCTTGATTTCATGAGAGATTGAATGACATGTAAAAAAAAAAAGAAAAACAGCAACAAAGAAAATGCTTTCCAGTAGTTTGTTTTCTGAAAACAAAGAATTCAAGTTAGAATGGTGTGTTATCCATGTAGAAAGTGTTGTCTGAGCTGAAGGAAAGGGTGGTCCCTCTTGCTCCCTGTGAAAGAAGTGGTGCATCAGCTGAAACAGCAGACATCTAAACACCCAAGGTACACAATGTCCCATTTGTTTCTAATCATACTGATTGAAGATCTGCACTGCACCTTTTCTTCATTCATTCTTCACTCGGTTGCTGCTGCTGGCAGGATAGGCTGTATTCTGAAAGACAAGTCTACAGGAAGAAAAGGGGAAGAGTATTAAAGGGCCTCTGCCAAGGAGGAATACAGCACCTGAGCAAGGTGGAATGGAAATCTGGAGGCAGACAGAAGTAGATTCTCATACAGTCACCCTTTTTAGTAAAGAGATCCTTCCTTAACTTCCTCAGAGGAGACAAAAAGAAGATGAAACACATGCCCATCAAAGCACTTTCAGACTTTCACGAGCTGAGTGCTTCTGAAGAAGGAATTATGTTGAGGTTTTGAAGGGGAAGAGCAGAAACTGAAAGCAGAGGGATGTCAAGAACTTGCTATAGAGCTGCTTCTTTTCAGGTGTAGCTGAATTTTCAGCATCCATGGTCAGCACCTTCTGGAGTTGCTCTGGGAGCTGCTGCTGTGCCTAGCCAGTGGCTGTGTCTGGCTGAAACACAGATCCAGGAGCTCTCCAGATCACTTACCTGGAGATCCAGGGTTAGAGCCCACTCGTGTACTGAAATACCTTAAGAGCATTCAGGCCTCCTGAAGTCTAATAAAATGTACACTGTGGTTTTCTTCTCCCAGTTGCTGTTCTGTTGCCCTCAGTTTCTCTCCAGCCATTCCCAGTATGTGTCAAGATGACAGTGATGGTCTCATGCTGCCTTTAGGAACAGTTCATTTTCGTGGTCTACACAGGCTTTGTGTTTTGTGCATTACAGTAATAAATCCAAGGAGTTGTCATATGGAGAGGGTTAATGAAGCTTACAAGAATACCACATTGCTGCTTCAATTTTGACTTTTTTCATGATTGTTTTTGTAGTGCTTAATTTTGGGTGGATCTGGTTTCATAAATATGGTAGATTATACTGGAGTATAAATGTGCAACAATGCAAAAATACTGAAAATATTACCACTTCTAAAACTCTCATGTCTCATAATGTGAATTTGTTTTAGTAGTCAGAAGATAGATCAGTGGATTGTATGGAATAATTAAAGTTTTTCTATTGTATTAAAAATACATTGTCTCTTTCGGATTGTGGTTAAACAAACCCGTCCACCCACACAAAGGTTGAAATTCTCAATCAGAGGTGTGGATTTGCTTTCCAAACCTGATTCTGAAAGGGAACAGTAAAACACAATGAATCTGACTCTGTTTCTGGAAGGTGAAAAGTGTTGTCTCTCAGAGAAAGTCTGACTCATTCGAGTATTGAAGAAATGCTGTACTATTTGGACATGCCAAACTAGAGCACTTAAAAAGTTATTTATACCTATTCTTGGTGCATTTTGTCATTGAACTTCATTGCTTTCTCTTGAAGAGCATTTTCATCACTCAAAGATTTTTTGTTGTTTTCTAGAGATGCATTTTAATTTTCACCTGACTGCTTGAGATCTGGACTTTGTAACCAGATTTTCTAGAACCTATTTACAGCAGCACATTGTCAAAGTAATGGAGTGATTTAACTTGGAGCATTCTTACTGCTTACATTGGATGTCTTTTGGCTTAGTTTGCTGAAATGCTTTCTTCAAGTTGGTTATTCTGGAAAAAATGTAGAAATATGTCTTCTTTCAAAACACATACACATTTTTCTCATATAAAAACAATTGGCTATAAAGCAATCGTTCTCCATCATTGTGAGAAAGTGAATCCAGATATTGACTAACATCCTGATACTACTGCACAGGATCTGCCGCCTTTCACATGAAAATAACTATTACAAAAAGGAAGGCCTTTATTGTAGCTGTAAAGAAAGGGCTGATAATGAAAGCTCCACATAGGCTGGTACTACTAGAAAATAATTTGAGATAAAGTAGGCTGAGTAATAGAGAGCTTAGCTAGCTGCTGAAACTGGAGATAAAAAGCTGCTTTCCTCTGCTGGGTTCGGCTGAGTGACGTTGATTCTCTTCACAGCAGTTTGTGTGGTGCTGTGCTTTGGATTTGCAGCTACAACAGTGCTGATAACACAAGGTTGTTTTCTGTGATTGCTGACACAGAGTCGAGGTCTTCACTGCTCGCTCACACTGCCCTGCCAAGCAAGCAGACCTGCAGAAGTGAGACAGCTGACTCCAGCTGAATAAGGGGATACACCATGGGGGAAGAAGCAGGAAGGGGGGTACATTTGGAGTGATGGTACTTGTCTTCCCAAGTCACCATTATTACATTTGGTGGGGCCCTGCTCTCCTGGAGGTGGCTGAACACCTGCCTGCCTTTGGGAAGCAGTGAATTCATCCTGTGTTTTGCTCTGCTTGTGCATACAGCTTTTGCTTTATCTATGAGACTGTCTTTATCAGAACCCATGAGTTTTCTTACTTTTAATCTTCTGATTCTCTTTCCTATCTCACTGGAATGGAGTGAGAGAACAAGTAGCTGTATGGGGTTGGGCTGCTGGCTAGGACTGATCCACAGCAGCCTTTTTCCTCCCAAAGTGCTCTAATATAAAATGCAAGCTGTGGGCTCAAGCAACACAGTGATTTTACTATTTCTAATAATGGTAGATGAAGATAAGGGGAAAAAATTGACAACATAGCAATGTTTTGTATGTAAACACTTGAAATGAATTTATTTTTTAAAAAATCATTTTTACAGTTGAATCATACAGTATTCTTCTGTACGCCTTAAAATAAAAGCCTCCAGCTTTTAAAAATGCTGCCCAGTACAAAAGTGCTAATGTAAAACTGTAGTGTTTATGTATTGAAACCATCACTACACATCACTAAATATCACTCTAAATAGTCTCTTCACCAGTATCAAGGTGTGGAGAAGAGGTGGAAGATAAGAGTTGATAATATTTAAGGCCTTTCTTCTTCCTCTTTACAGTTCAGTCTTCAGGAGCTTCAGCGCTTTCTGCATATTTGAATACACTAGAAATGAAATATTCATTCATGTTATTTTTGCTGCAACTTCCTCTGCCAGCAACCAAAAATGCTTCAGAGAAAATGTCATTATTATTAAAGCCTTTAATCACATGCCTATTGCTATAGGGATTCAGATGCACTTACTCTTCCAAGCAATTTGTGAACATCATGGATTTAATTTTTACTGGTGAGAACGTTCATTAATGCCAACACATGGGCAGAGACTCGAGCTGTGCAGCAGTGAGGGATGGTTATAGCAAGCAGCTTTCCCTGCTCCCATAAGGTTTCCTGACCTGGCCTGTTGGGACTTATGTATGAGTTCTCACCGCTGCTTGCAGTGAGCGCTGCTGAATTATGCAAGTTCCTGCTGACGTGTGCTTGCTTTTTAAACAGATGGATGCTTAAAGCTCCAGGGCTATGCCATAATTTTCTTCATCTCACTGAGTTTAAGTCTAGCATCCTGTTTCATTTTAATCCTGGTTAAATGTCTTTCAGCAAGTACTGACTGTGAGAATCTGTAATGCCTGGTGTTATTCCTTGTCACATGAAAAATGCGACTGCTTTCAGACTATTTCCAGAATGTGTCAGAACACTCTACTTACACAACGAAATGTCAGAGGGCTCATATGCATAGAGACGGTTTGAGTATCTTCCAGTAATATCTGCTCTCACAGTCAGGGAAGGATCTGGGGGGAAAAGGGTGAGAGAATTTGTAGAGGTTAATCTTCAAGCAGAAGGAAATAAAAGGAAATAAGGCTTTCTGCACTCCTGCTTGCTTCCTAAATGTTTCAGTGAGGCATGTCTGCTTCTGCTGACTAAAAGATTGTTCTAAGGGGTCACTAACATTTCAGTTTTAAATGTGTTTGCAAGTTTATTAGGACTGGGATGAGCTACCCATTCCAGTGACTGTGGCATCAGCCATTGAGGGAAGAATGCTGGACCTGTGAAGCTGGTTGGTCTTGAGTCAATATTTGATCCACAAAAACAACTTGAACCTTTGTATTTGTCATGAAATAAATTCCTGTTATTCAGCCTGAAGATTTGAGATGCATGGTGCAGCAGTGGCTCTGTTCTGAGAGCAGCTTTGGTGCTTGAGGTACTCACCTATGAACAAAACCCGAGGGACGTACTGGCCATCAGGTGCAAGGTTCTTGTCTGTGGTTTCATACTAAAAAAAAATAGAGAACGTTCCTAGTCAAGGAGAGCGTGTTACATACTTTTTTCCTTCACTGTACTTTGTATTATGAAATACAGCTCAAATAATACATTTTGCAGTTTAAGAGATTCTGTCTAGGATGAAGCTTTTTCATTTTTTAACAGCTGGAATTGCAAATTGCTAACAGTTCATGTTATTATTAAACTTCATATTCCCTCGCAGTCTGAGTTTATGATAGCTACAGATGAAAAAGACTTACTATGAAATCTGTTATGCTTCAGCAGTGGCCATTTTCCTAGCCAACCCTAACTATTAAACTTAAGTTAGAGAAGCCATAATTAAAAGCAGAACTTTGTCGCTTTCACTTAATTCAGTGTAATTGGGAAACTTACCACAAGGTTCAGGAGAATGAATTTTTCAGCCAGTTTCTGTATATCTTTGTGTTCAGCAAAGACCTTCTTGAGGGCTAAAGTAGAAACAAATAGGAAAGAAAATGAAAAAGGTGCCCTTGAAATATATTGTCCTCCAACAAGAAATTCAAACAAACTGATGAAACAGAAAGAGACTTTCCAGTTTACAACTGCAGCAAAGAT